TATAGTCAAGAAATAGAAAAAATTATCAGAAATGCAGAAAAAAGAAAAGGAAAAAGGAAAAACCAAATAGAAACAGAACCTGAGGAATAAGCCTTATACAAGCATGTAATCTTTGGCACTAATGTGATTAAGTCATTGAATGAAAAATTAGGAAGGAACTGGTGAGCTAACCCAAAAAAATATTCACATCCTTCTGAACTATACATCCACGGCATAAAAGAATATTGAAGGTAGAAATCTCAGTAAGCAATTATTAAAAGAATCTACAATCAAAAGTTACATGATAAATAGATAATCACAGAATGATTTATATAAAAAAAAAAAATTCAAATACTATAGATTTGAGAAGACTCATTAAAATATTAAACGTTACTGGTATTATAAAGTTTTTTTAATATTAATAAATTCTGCATAATCTTGTGTACATATTTAAATATGACTTTTCTAATAGTTTAAGAAAAAAAACCCCAACATGACCATTTTGTATCTTTCAAAAGGTGAAATGTTATAATTTTGAAATATGTCAATTAATTCTTCTACAAAAATTATTTATTTAGTTAATAGTAAAAATTAAATAAAAATTTGAAATTTAAATAATTTTTACCAAAAACAAACAAAAAAACAAATAGCTCATATTTTTCTGTAATGGTTTCATCATTTTGACTAATAACTTGATTGAGAAGTGAGAGCAAAATAATTAGTAAGCAACTCTGTCATCCTGATGATTAACATTTTCAACATCCTTTTTGTAAAAAATACTTTGAGGGTTTTTTCTTAATTCAAGAATTTGATCATAGCATGCTGAGTATTTTCTGAGAGACAAAAGATATATATCAGAAAAAAGTGTATTATGACAGTTCTTCTTTGCATGTAGAGGATCTGTAATTCGAATGATAGGACCAACATCAGGATAAATAGGGCAACTAAAATTAATATCTGAAATAAATTTAGTTAAAATATTTTTTTAAAAGTGTTACGCATTATTTAATATTTACATACTGTAAAGTTTATCTTTAAAAATTAATCTTTTACATGTTTCTACTTGCATAAGTTGGTTTTGCACATTAAATTCTGCAGATGCCCTATCAGTACCAAATCCAAGAATTGGAAGCTGAAGATGTGCTGCTATATCAAATAACTTTTTATGTAGTTCAAAAATATTTGCTGCTGTTTTTTTTTTCTTTATTTGTAATCATTGCAATAACACAAGGAAGAAATTTTGGAAGAGGAATTTATGTATAATAATGAATAAACAAATAAATATACATTTTATATATGCAAAAAAATTTGTCAATAAAAATATTTTTTTTTACCTGTAATAGATAAACACGAACTTAAGAAGTAATAGCATTATGTGACTTAATTGTATCAATAATTTGGTATATATCTTCATATGAAGAAACTCTAGTTGATTCTGTCAAAAGTGTCAAACCAACAATATAGCTATAAAGAGATAAAAATCCAAGCCTTTCTTTAAGTTTATTATTGTCTGACATCATAATAATTAGACCAGTATATTTAATTGTATCAACAAATCTTTTAATGTATACTACATTTTCGTAGCAAAGCTCAGAATTATGAAGTGCAAATAGTGAGTATGTGCAGTATAATCTTATATTTTGAATAGCATGATCTACAAAATTTTACCTAAAAATATTGTACACTCGTGGGCTAAGACTTGTAAGGATAACTAAAAAGTCAAAAAATTAATCTGAATATTTAAGATTTTGAAACCCTTTTTTATGTTATTCATAATCAGCAATTTGTATTATTATTTGACAAAGTCCTTCAAATACTTTTTTGTTGTTAAAGCTACCTCTTTGACCTATTTCTGCAAATTTTACTCAAAAACATTTTTCATCATTTGTATTGGTATTATTTATTATACTTAAAAAGTCTCCAATATCTTGATTATAGATATATTTTGCTACTGGATTACTGTGAAGTTGAATCTTTGGCATAAATTTTTTTTTATTTTTTGGGTTTTCTTGTTTTGATAGAGTATTTTTTTTATTAATTAATATAAAAAAATTTTTTAATTAAATTATATATTAAAATAAAACTATATAATATTTTATATAATACCTTAAATACTTGACTATCTTGAACTTCTTTACAATAATCATATAATCAGAAAGAACAAGTTGTATATTGTTTACATAAAACTGATCATATTACTAAACTTTCGATTTCTATTTTGATTAGCGAATTAATTCTTTGTCTAATAATTGTAACTTTTCTTCAGAAAGTTTTTTGTATTTTACAGGTTTATCAGAAGAAAATTTTGTTGGAAAGAGATTTCTAGCAACAATATCTCTTCTTGAAGCTCTACTATGAGTAGTATGTATAAATACATGACTAATATAAGCTTTATGAATAGCATTATCTAATCAATTACAAGGAAACCATTTCATAATAGGTTCATTTTCCTTTGGTTTTAGAAAAAAATTTAAGATTGAAACAATGCCGTTTTTAAACTTGCTACCATTATTAATATGACTTTCTATATAAATTCATCATAAGCTTGTTTGAGTTTAATAACTTTTTTACATTTGCATATTACATATAAACTACAATCAGATACCTGAACAACCATTTGGTTTTTCAGTAAACATTCCCTTATATATTTAACTATTTTTGTTTTAGTTTAATTAAAAGCAATATAATGATCTTTATTTTTTTAACGTGTTTTAATACTGTTTAACTAATTTTTAAATGTAACCTTAAACAAAATCAACAAATTTATCTACTTTTAATAATATAGAATTAAAAGCTATTATCCAGTTTTAAATATAACCTTTAAAGCAAATAACTAGTTTTCAAATATAATATTTTTTAAAAAAAGTGGTGTTTTTAACCAAATTTTCTATATAACCTCTATATATATTATTCGAGATCCTTCTCTAATCAATAGGTGCTGTAGTATCCAACTATGCTATGCTATATTCCAATCTAGCTTGCATAAACTCTTGTTTGATGTTCATACAAACCCAGTTCCTACTGTAGCCTTCCATCAAGTTAGTCATCTGTACCTTCAGATATTACACAAAGTAGATCTTCCCAAATCTGTTGATTAGTATTGCCTGCTTTGCTGCCAGATATCACATGAGACAGATCCTCCCAAATCTAGTTAGTTACCAAGTCAAGTTGGTGTTGCTATACGATCTTGTATAACAGACTTACTCATACCTGTTTCGTGATCCTTCTGTACTCAGGACTTATTCATATCTATTTCACTGATCTTTTTATATGCAGATTTCTTTTTTCAGATCAGATATTAACTGATATAACTGTTGAAATCCGTATTACTTTACCTAACTTGGGATTTCTACTATGCAGATTTTCTGCCTGTAGATCCTATTAAGATTTATTCATATAATATTATATCTCACCGAATGCTCTGTCACACTTCTAATACTTGATTGGTATTGGTATAACATGATTTACAGGTTACAACTCCAGAAACAGGCAGAGTTTTACTGTAAGTTGGATACAGATGTCTAGGTAATTATTTAATTCTGTATAAAGTAGGATTTGAACTCTAGACCTCTTGCATAGTGGTCTGGCAACCTAACCACTACACTAAGATCACCAGATCCTGATTTTTGTAAATATTAGCTAAACTAATTTGCTTTTACAGACTTTCTTGATTGCATGCAGAATATTATTATTCTTAGACTTCAACTACTCGCGTGTCTTTTCATTCTTTAGGCAGTTCTCAACTGCAAAGATTGCACATGTGTTATCTGTCCTTATTTCTACTTTGCATCTATTAGGAACTAACAAAACTGCTACTAGACAAGCTCCTAGCTTTGCATGAGTAGATGAGAACTAATTTCTTATTCTTCCTTTATAACTAAAAACTATATTATTTGTACTATCTATTTGCACTTCACTAAATCCTATCCTTGTTTTTCTTTTGGTATCCTCTCTACCAAATGAGCTATCTGTATAAAATACTATTTACTCTTTTTTTCTATTTGCCTCTAGTCTATACTTTAGTTCTTCTCTAATTCTTGTATTTTGAATAACTTGGTTGATTAGCTCTACTTCTTAGCTACTTTCTACTTTGACATGCTTCAGATTTCTAAACTTTTTAAAGTTTTCTACTTTGCTTTTTTGATTCTCTTTTCCTATTTTTCTAAGGTACTTTCTACTAAATACTACTTCTGGTATATTATCTTTCTTTCATATGAAGCCTAAGATATTATGAACTTCTTGTAATACAACTTTTTGCCCTTGTTTATTTTTTTTGAGTTTGGTTTCCTCTTCAAATACTTCTTGTTAACTATATCTTTTATATGAGTTTCCTTGATCTTCTTCCCAGATCTCTACTTCAACTATCTTCTTTTCTTTTCTAATAATACAGCCTATTTCACTTTTCTTATTCTCTTTACCTTTTATGAGTACTCATTCTTTTTTTCTCTTATCTTGTAAAATTCTTTTTTCAATTTCTTGTACTTAGAATCCTCTTCTTTTCTAGTACTCTTCGTTTACTTCTCTTAAACTCTTATCTGTTATGATTTCATTCTCTAGAGCTTAAAACTACTTTGCTTTTTTTTCAATATATCTCTTTCCTTCTTTTACTTTAAGTTGTCTTTAAGTAATCATTCTTTCTTAATTGTTATCTAACAGCTAATTTATGTGCTATAAGTTGAGCTTACTTATGCCTTCTTACACTTCTTTTATATTGCATTTGTTAAGAATACTACTAATAAAACAACTTTTTCCTTCTAGTAAGTTTACAAAATTCCAACTTTCTGTGAACTCATTTTTTGTGATATTTATACCAAACTTTTTTGTATGTTGCATTATTGTAGCTCCTAGGTTTCTATACTTGGTTTTTTTCTAATTCATATTTTCTGTGATGAGAATATATTCTAGTATATTTGTATCTAATTGTGACTGTTTCAATCTCATTAAAGTAGTTATACCTATGATGCTATTTGTGTTTATCCTAACAAAGAGCTCAGATATATAGTATTCTATATATTTTTGCTATAAGCTTACTACTCCAAATATTTCTTTGTACTAAAGAGTTATATTTGCATATATAGATAGAAATTCTAATTTCTATTTTATTAGTCAAAGCATAGGCTGATATATTGTATAGCATGATTTTTTCTTTAGACAGATGTTAGCTAGTAGATACTCAAGCTTTAGGAGCAATACCATATTGTTTATATATATTATCTGATTTGCTGAGAGTTTTTTATACCTTAGTATACATGTTAACTTTTCTACTTCTTTTTTGTAATGTAGGATACTTGTTCTTTCTTGTTTTCTTAGACTTATTCAAACTCCTAGAAATCTTGTACTCTCTTCTGGTTTTTTAACTTTAACTGAACTTGGTGATATTCTGATTTAGATATATTCTTTTTCCTTTTTCTTTTTGTGAGGTCTCCAAGCTATTGCTTCAGATTTTGCTCTATTTATCTTGATATCATTTAGTATAAAAGAGCTATTTGATACTTGTATAATTGTCTGCAATATAAGCTTAGATTCTGCTACTTATATAGTATCATCTATATATACCAATACTGAAATTATAGCTTTTTCTGTTTTGTAAGTTCACCTTTCAATATTTACTAGTCACTGTAGCTCCATTTGGTATTCTATTTCTAGTTATTGTATTCTTACTAGTAATGAATCATAAAAAATTTTCTATATTAGTGAAGAGATCACTTCATCTTGGTCTATTCTGTCACTAGCTATGAAAAAGTCAGTTGGGCTTTCATCTGTTATCACCCTTATTTTATGATTTTGATATAGTTGCTTAATAAAGGTGATTAGATTTTCTGGAAGTTTGATTCTTCTCATAGAGAGCTCTAAAGCGTAAATACTAACTGAATCAAATGCTTTTTATATATCCTGAAATACTATTCATAGCTTTTTATTCTTTTGAATTGTATTTTTAATAACATTATTTAGGACATGTATTAGTGTCATAATACTTTCATTAGACAGTCCTGTGAAATTTGCTCCTTTTAAAATCTGCTTTTCAACAAATATTTTGCTTAATCTTTTTTGAACAATTCTGACTATAAGTTTTCTAAATATCTTAAGTAGCATTATTGGCCTAGTACTTGTTAAATTGAATTCCTAGTTTGTACTTTTAGAAATTAAATATACAGTATTTGCTTTAATTTCTATTTCTTAAGGAATTTTTCTTCATAAACTATTTTGTTTGCAAAGTTTACTAAGTATTCTTTTGTCTTAGAGCTTACCTTTTTAATGAGTTTGTAGCTGATTCCTGAGATACCAGGTGCTATATCTTCTTTTAGCATACTTGTAACTTCTGACTATTCTTCTTCTGTTATTTTGCTCATTACCTCTATATATCAAGCTTCGTTAATTCTTTTTTGTTCTTTGTAAATATTTGTCTATTCATGATCTAATTATTCGAATTCATAATTTCACTTTCTAAATTGTTCTTTAAAATATCTTTCTACTTCCTTCTTGACATTTTTACTTTCTGTAATTAGCCTTTTACTTT